ATTGACAACAGTGTCATTTAGTTGAGTCAAAGGGATAGCACTGACCCTACTTACAGCCCTCAATGTTCTTCGTAGTATTATATGGTCTTTCTTGAGTAGCCCAGGGAAGAATAATGGAGAACAATAAAGAATGATGGGCAAAACACATGAATTAATAAATTGTATGATAAGAGATTGGGTTATACCTGAGTGCCTCAACTTCTTTATGTAATAAGTCAGACGGAAAACTTTCTTAGAAACTATAAGAATATGAGACGACCAGCAAAGGTTTGAAGAGAAACTAATGCCAAGATAAGAAACACTTGACTTACTCTCTATCATGGTACCATCAATATTACAACAATCATGAGATTGGATCAATCCATGCATGTCTTTTTCACTTCTCAAGCTGAAATCAACAGTGTTACATTTAGTTGGATTTAGTTTAAGACCATTTGAGCCAGACCAATCCTTAACTTCAGCTAAGAAGCCATTCATATGGGAACAATCCGATGTGGAAACTACAGGGACAGAAACGGTCAGATCATCAGCATACTTAATGAAGTTAACTTTGGGTGAGTTCGGAAGGTCATGCAAAAAGAAAGAGAAAAGAAATGGAGAAAGTACTGCACCTTGAGGCACACCACTTTCAGTTAGCTGAGAAGTGGAGCGCTTTCCAGCCAAAACAGTATGCTGTTTCCTATCCTTAAAATAAGAAGACAGCCATCTAGTTGCCCAGGACTCTGTTTGTGCTGAAATCATCTTTCCTAATAAAAGTGTCCTAGGAACAGAGTCGAAAGCTGCAGTATAGTCTAAAAAAGCTGTTCGAACGAACTTAGCACCCTTATCAAGGCAGGAAACAATATTGTGGTGTAGTACAATGGCTGCATCTAATGTACTTCTTCCACACTTATAAGCAAACTGCTTAGGGTCACTAAAAGCTTTTAAAGAAGGTTTAAGAATATTCAAAAGAAGTTTCTCCATAGTTTTCAAAAAAGGAGATGTTATAGCGACCGGTCTAAACTTTATACCTGCTCCAGAAGATGATTTCTGTACAGGTACAACCTTGATTTCTTTCCAGTCAGCAGGTACCGTTTCCCTGTTAAATGATGCGTTAAAGATTTGAGTAAGAGGATGACACAAGATGTCTGCACACTTTTGAAGAAGAATGCTTGGTACACCATCTGGACCAAGGCTGTGTGTTGGATTTAATGATTTCAAACATAATAGTACATCCTTTTCTTTAAAACCCGGAAAATGACCATTTTCTTGACTAGGTACATCAGGTACAACCATATTAATTTGTTTCTTGATAAATGATTTGTTTAAAGCATTAACATCAGAATAAGCATCAACAGACATTTGTTTTTTACTTGTAAGTTTATTGAAAAGTTTCCAAATGTTTGAAGGATTTTTACATGATAAAAATTTTTCATTATATAGTCTGTTCAACCTTTCTATTTCAATTTTTATAAGGGTGTTTATTTTACGGACACCAGTATTATCACAATTCTTATACAACTTCTCTTTTTGTCTTCTAAGTTTTTTCAGTTGCAAAGAAGAGATTCTGTCAAATCTCGAAAACAGTGTTTCATATGGACAGCAAATTTCCAAACAAAACTTCAGATAATCGGTTATATTAGAGACAGTAGCATCCAACTTATCGTCAGTAAATAGTTCCCAGTTGGTATCATACAACATGCTTCTTAGTGCTAGAATGTTGTCATGGGAATATGAACGTTCATGTATCTTCTTTGTTAAATGACTAAACAATTTTCGTTGTAACTTGCCGTACACTTTCGGTAAAATACGAATAATGCAGTGGTCAGAATTTAGCAAAGGAGCTCTCCTTCGGGTTTCATATACATCACGGTCATTTATGAAAACCAGGTCTAGTGATTTGTCCAGACGTGTATTAAACTTGACTAGATTCTCATGACCAAGTGAAGTAAGAAAGCTGTGATCACATGAATTAAAATCACCACAGACTATAGACAACGAGTTTCCGAATGCAGGAGCAGCGAATTCAGTAAACTCATCTGCAAACATAACTATATTAGAAAGGCTACAATTGGGTGTTATGTAAATATTTGTTATGTATATATAAGAATATTTACTTAAGTGTTTTGGGCGACACCTGACGGTTATGCAATCTATATTGTCATTAGAATAATTGAAGCAAACGTGATTTGATGTAGACCAACTTGTGTTTATAAAAGTGGCTACCCCTCCTCCATATTTTTTCTTGGAACTTTTTCTATCTTGGCGAAAAACTTTATATCCATTTATTGAAACTAGATTATCATCATAATGCTGGTGCAGCCAAGTCTCTTGTATTGCTAAAACGCCAGCATTTCGATAAACATTGGAATACATTAGGGATTGAAGATAATCCATTTTGTTGGACAGGGATCTACAATTAGTGCTAACGAGTTCAGGAACAGTCATTTGATTAATTTGTGTACGTTTCAGTGCACGCTGCCAGCCACAGTGATGCTTTTTTCTCCAATTTTTGTGGATGACACAACGCAGTAGGTTGTAATGATTTTAAAAATGCGCGATTATATATAATACGATTAGGACACATTATTGATAAATTAAAACAAAATTAAAAGAGCAAACCAAAGCAATTTTGCAAAATGTTGTAAGGTGGAATTTTTGGTAGCCCTATGTTCAAGCAGGCCACCTGTAAATCTGTGATGAAACCCGATAAACAAAACAAATCGTTACAAATCAACTCTTGAAAGTTGATCGAAATTGAAATAACAAAGGTTTGTATATAGAAGCGACTTCTTTTGTGTTTTGAAAAATCTTTGTGAAATCATGTGAGTCTTGAAACAGACATGAAAATATGATGAACAAGCGTTCATGAACTGAGATCAAAACTTGACCACACACTTACAAACATTAGTCTATTTTTCGTTAAACAAAGTAAACGGTGTGTACTTTAGCTTCAATTTTTTAGTGATTACATTCGACTAAAGTTCATGGTCGTAGATAACTGAATTCGAACAACATATATACGTGTATATACGGTATACAATGGTGTGTGTATGTGTGTATAGGTAAACAGTTGTGAAACTTTTCTTAGCTTCTCCATAAAAGGATACAGAAAATCGGGAATTTAGATCAAGTATGATTGATGAGTGATCCATATCCATTTTCATTTATTAATCAGAATCCGCCGTGCTCCAGCTAACATCACATCTTAACGTCTTTTCAAACTGTTAGAATTCACCGACACATGAAGGGCTTCTGCAGTCAGGTAGTCTTTCTTTATACTAACCAAATACCTTTTTGTAGAACGTTGGTCCTATAAAAGTCGATTTTTTGTGTCCCATTTCTATCGATTACAGTACAATCACTGTTCTGTTTTCTAGTTTCTTTAAGTCTTCAGAGGTCTTTGGAACCACTTTTAGACATTGTTTATGCTCTTTCACTCTTATATAAACCCGTATGTAGGAAGTTCCTCCTACATATACAGCAGGGTCACAGTGGCCACAATAGATCTGGTACACACAATTCTGTTGGTTGTCTTCTTCGATTTTATCATCCTTAACTTCCACCAGTGATGAGGGTGAGGTTTTAGTTTCACGAAAATACACGCTTATGTTGTCATGACCTGCTAAGGATTCGCTTAATCTCACCCGATGTTTCTTTGTGAGTGAGGAATCATCACTGCTTTAACCGAATTCTTAGCAACAGATTTTGATTCATCTTTATCTTCCCCTGTTAAATATATTTTCACTAAGTCTTCGGGATAATTATTTGATTGAACTGTGGATTGAACCAATTTTAGTTCCCTGATGGTCTCTCCCTCCTCAGTAGCTAGACATTTGGCTCTGTTAATCAGATTCTCGGTCATAGTTACTTTAGTGGTAAAGTGGTGTGTTCTGAATTGTATTCTAGATATCCGTACGAATGTGGCGGCTCTCTGAAAATATTGCCTACTGTGATAGTGGTTACAATTCATGGTTTTTAAACTCACTATTCAAATTGTATTGTTAATTTGCAACTTTTGGTTTGCAGGGATTTGATTGGTCAGAAACTGACTTCAGTCTGAGAGATGTGTTGAAAACGAAGGAGTACTGGCTATAGCTAACTGATTCGTCTTTGTTTGGGGCGTTTCAGCAGCATGCACCCAAGACCACCACAAAACTGTCAGGGAGTAAACCATTTACCTTCAGGTTACCAAGCGGGCTCGTCTGCCTGTTTAGCCAGTGCCAGTACCCAATCCAGAGGCCCATGAATTCTAATTCTGTCGATTCGGGGTATATATATATATAACTTCAGAAGACAAGGGCCAGGCAACAGATCGTTTATTGTTGAAATCAAGAGATATTTATAGAATTTTATGTAGATTATTATTCGTTATTACTAGAAAAGAAATAGCGTCCTCTGATGGGTTATTTTCTCGCTGTAAGTTAATCTGTCATCTTTTAGTTGCCGTTTCTTTGAAGGTCAGACCACATATATGCGATTTATATATATATATATATATATATATATATATATATATATATATATATAGAGAGAGAAGAGAGAGAGAGAGAGAGCAACCATCAGTCGATATCATCGGCGAGTATTCGTCTTCATATTCAACCACTTGTTGGATACCGCTTGTCATGACACCCCACTAGAAGTTCAGGCAACTACCTCCTGGAGTCAGTCACACTAGTGAGTACTGGATTGACTTCCAATCGTCGGTTTGTTGGCATTAGATTGACTGAGAATTTCTTCATGAACAGAAGACTTCAGTTAGAGGATCAGAAAGCACTTAACAGCTATTTTATGCTTATCTGAAACTCTCCACAAACAAATCCATGATCCCATTGTCAATGATTGAACTCAGGACCTTCAGTTTAGGAGATAGGCTGATTGACCATTCCACCACCCATTAATTCTTATTTCCACGGATTCCATAAGATTAATGCGAGTTACAGTAATGAATTACTAGTTATACACAATAATTTGTTTTTCATCATTATTTGTGTGTAAATTTATGTGTCTTTTCCCCATAGGTTATTCACCACATGACCCACTCACAATGTACATTATCCTCTTCTCTGGTTCGGGATCACTGGATCAATTGAAAGCAATGCTACATGTAGAATTGTTAACATTCATAGGAAAAGTAAGTACTCAAATTTTTTCTTTTCCTTCTTCAGAGTCGTATTCTACTATTGCATACCGACATTTTTGGTCGCTGATAATAATAATAATAATAATAATAATAATTTGCTTTATTCCAAAACAGTACTTGTGATACAGAATGGAATTCTCAGCACTTCACTACATACAGTATTGCATTCAGTTTGTACACTAACAATAAATAAATAAAATTCTACATCGATTAAGGGTAATCTCAATTAGTTTTGACAACAACATATTAGCATGTCGGTCGGTAGCAAAGCCAAAAGTGAACAGATTGTTTGAAGGTGTTAGAAAAGTAGATACTAGCATATTTACTGGCGTAAGCAGTATAACAAAAAGGTCGAGATATACAAAGTGTGAAAGAACGAAGAAGAGTGTTTTAAATGGAATTTGTAAGGAAGAAAGAAACATAAACAGTACATAACAAAAACAAAAAAGGGAAGAGGAAAAGAAAGAAAACGTTGTACCTATAAATGATACGTGTTGGAAAGACGAGATCCAGTTGTTCTACTGACTATTTAATAAGTTATAGGTTTCACGCCTTACGCTTTCTTTATCGCACAGAACACGAGCCAAGTAGAGTATGGTTGAGTTGGGTTTTTGTACTTTCTAGTGCGAGCATATAGTTTCCTATATAGGCTTCTGGTTTTGCCTGATGAGATACAAGGGGAGAGTTGTGAATGAAGAGGGCGGTGTGAGTTAGATAAAATGGATTTAGCCCATTTTTCACATGAGTCCATGTGCTTATCAACCAGAATATCAACAAGCTGGTTAAGTGGCACGTTGCTTACCCTGCTGACAAACTTTAACATCCTACGTAATAAGATATAGTCTTTCTTCAGTAGCCCAGGAAAAACTAAGGGGGGAATAGAGAATAATAGCCAGGATGCAAGAGTTAATGAATCGTAAGAGTAAGCGTTGGGTTGGGTAATTCCAGATCTTTGTACGGGCACTCCAGTGAATCTTTGGTTAAAGGTGACTTGGCTAGGGGTGGAATTCTTAATGTGCACATTTCGTCCGGTCTGATACTGGTCAAATGGATCTGTTTGTACCCTCCAATAAAAAGTGATGGTGTTCTTCATTGGAACTTGAACTGTGGCACTCACTGTCGTTTTTTAAACAGCAAACCGTCTTCATAGCTTAGTAACGCTGAGGTAAATAGAAACGCCCTTCATCATGAACGATAATTACTCGCGTTTATTGTGCGTAATTGTTATTCATCAAACTTCTCACTTTAGTATTCTTAAGATTAACTTCTCAATAAAATATCCGTTATTGAAGTTAGAACTACTTGAGTTATATGGATAATTTAATTTCAGATTTTCCCGTCGATTGACTGGACTGAAGTGCTCCTTTCTCAGGTTGACATGTCGACTTCTTGTGCAGATGCTTCGACACGATGTCTGGATTCCACTGTTAGTCACCATCCACTAGTTAAATTCTAACTACCTGCCTAGACATCGTCGAATCATGTGCACACAAGAAGCTGACATGTCAACCTGAGACCGAGGAACACTTCGGGGTCCAATCAATCGGCGGGAAAATCTAAAATTCAATTAAATAATTAATATGACCCGTTGCACAAGAGGCAGTGGCTCTCGTGGCCCACATAGTCTAGTGGATAACGCTTTTGTTGGCGTTTGAAACTATAGGCACTTTGTTTGAGCCTCGGTGGGGACATCATCGCTGGGGAATGCAGGTACATCCAGCGTTGGACGAGCCCCAAATAGGACGAAATGCGCGTTAATCTGGATTCCACTGCTAGTCACCATCCAACAGTTGAATTCTACTTGAGTTATAGATTCAAATTCGCTTTACCTATTTTAATTGCAGTGAATTATCAGTGTTAGGACTTTGCACAAAGAGGATGGTTTAGCGTGGATATTGCGAATCACGGAGAGTGAACACATTTGCATCAAGGAAAACTATTTTAAGGTATATCACCGATAATCTATAGCCATTTGGTTCCTGACACTCCCAGTGTAACGACAGAAGACAAGCGACAGGCAACAGATGATTTACTGAGAAAATCAAGAGATATTTATAAGATTTTTATGTACATTATTGTCAACGGAGAAGCAACGTCTTCTGATTGGTTGTTTTCTTTCTGAAGGTTATTCTGTACTGCTTGTGACCATTTTTTAGGAAGTTAAGCCATATATCTGCTAATCGTATCTGCACATGTTAAGTCTGCTGTGATTGGTTGATGAGTTCCTTAAGGTTAAGCTTTGTGATTGTTTTTCTCATGACTCCAATTCAGGACGTAACATTGATGTAAATTGCTGCCAACAATCTTGGCTAGCAGACAGCTCTCACCACACTAGGACCTCCAACCAGACAGCCTATACTACCCTGTGTGACTAGTTTGAACTAACTGTGGCAGACTCCCTGTGTGTGTGTGACGCGTTTTGGTGTGACCACCTCAAACTCTTTTCCAACCTGATCAATCCTATATCACCTAACATTGATCGATGAGGAATGCGATGGATGGATCAGAATGCGTAACACGTCTTCTAGCTTTTTCTCAGTCGATATAACTTGACAATTTCATGAATTCGCTTCCTCTCGTTACTTGACACTCGACGTCTCTAACCTCAGTGAGAGAAGGCGAATGTCTGTAGTTGAAGAGAGCTAGGACACTTCATATCTCCCGATTAAATTGTTCATGCTTCACAGCCACAATGGAATAGAGAGAAGAACAGCGAACTTCTGTGCATTACAAATGTCCACTCCTGTGACTGATAACCAGGTATCACTCCAGAGATGACGTAAGTTGGCAAATATCACACGACTCCAGGCTTTTTTATTCGAAGTGTGAGATTTTGTCAAAAAACACTACATCAGAGTTGATGCCGAGTTAATTTAAGGTTTCTAAATACTCTTTTAAATGAAACCGCAAAAACTAATTGACTCCTAATGTTGTATGAAATCATATCTTAAAGCTTTCAGGAAAATTTCTCTTAAGTACAATTAGATAGGTAAACGAATCCCAGTGGGTGCGTACTGCCGATGATTCCCAAACTAGGATGAAACATCAGCTGTCCAGTACTCCCTGGTTTTCAATACTTCTCTAATTGATATCAATCTGTGATCAACTCGTATAAACGAAATTTGACGTTTTCATTTTTTCTTTTCTTCATAGCGAAATTCCAATGTGATATCGTCTTACAAAACAATCGAAAGTATTATCAATGCAGAAAATCGTAAGTAGCTTTTTATCAATGTATGTTGTGTATATATGTGTTTCTCCTTCGTTCTTCACGGTGTCATTGTTGTTGTTGTTGTTGTTGTTGTCACGCCATGTGGAATTAAATCATTTTCCAAACTTGATTGTCACCATTGATATAAGCACTTGACTTTGAAGTGGAACGTTTCAATGGGGAGAAGTGTTCTCAAACGTTTCTCTGCTCTAACGTACAATTATGAGTGGTCGCAGCAAAGGTGGGAAGTCTCGTGTAAAAACAAAGACTCGATCTGCTCGTGCTGGTCTTCAGTTCCCAGTTGGTCTTGTACATCAACTTTTGCGCAAGGGTAACTACACTGAACGCGTTGGTGCTGGAGCGCCTGTCTACTTGGCACCTTTTGTGGTATCTCATGAGCGTCGCGTTAGGCACCTTAACCGCACGTATGGTTCATCCCACAGTGCCAGTTGTGCTTACCAAAAATGGTCCACTTGGCACTCACATTCAATGCAAAACTCCATTTAAGCGAGTTAAGCTTCTCACTCATTTAAAGTTTGACAATAGGTTGAGGATGTTTTCTCCCCAATGCCTCTATTCATTCGCTTTACCCGATAAAACTGTTTATATCTCAGAGCGCCAGCTATCCTGAGGGAGACCTCGGAGGGAACCAGCTACTAGATGGTTCGATTAGTCTTTCGCCCCTATACTCACGTTATACTATCGATTTGCACATCAGAATCGCTACGGTCCTCCACCAGAGTTTCCTCTGGCTTCAACCTTCGCAAGCATAATTCACCATCTTCCTGGTCTCAACATGTACGCTCTTGCTCCGCCATGACGGTGCACATAGCACAAGGCCACATGTCTACGCCATGGGACGGGGCGGTGATGCGCCTGCTGCTCGCAGCTTGGAATTAGTGAGCAAAACAACAGGATCTCACCTCAGCCTGGACAAACCGAACCTTTACCTTAACTGCGCCTTTGGGTTTAGTAAAGCCAAATGACTCACGCTCATGTTAAACTCCTTGGTCCTCAGACATAACTCATAGTTATAATACTTGAATTGGTCTCATCGGAATACATTGTAACAGCAGATGGAAAGACACGGAAGCCAAAGTATATGTGAGAGAAATATTCCATTGAACACATTGTCCGCATCATACCACCACACTCTTCTTGGTTCTGGCGGCTTTGGTAGCTCGTCTCGCTGTATGCAGTTCCGGAGCTCACTGACGTTTAGCCGCTTCTCTTTGTTCGCATTTCTGGTCGTATATATGTGACCCCATCTCACGGTGACCGTGCCTGGTCCTTCCCGATTTGGCAGCAGTTTGCATGACTCAGGCGCGTGTTCGCCTGTGTTTTACCTCACACTATCATATGCTGCCTTTGCCCGACCTCACAGCAGCATTCCAAGTAACAACCTCTTCAATGACGGTTCTTTAACGCCATTCAATTCCGCAAAAGCCTCGAGGTCCTGTCAAAAGATCCATATGTCTCCTTCGTCAAAAACTCCAGGACATAGGCTTTCCATTTGTCGATAGACAGCGACACCAAATGTAACAGCAGAAAGCAAGCCAAGGTATATGTGAGAAAAATATTCCGTTGGACACGTTGTCTGTATCACACCACGGCAAAGTTAAACTTTAAGCACTACTAACTACCAATCAGCGAACGACCTTCAACGGACCAATCACCTGAAACAGGGACTTTTGATTAAGGAAAACGTATATTTATGGAAAAAAGCATAAAAATTGCATCAAACTGTTGCATAGGATATCTTTCGTTAACATGTAACAGAAACATCTCCCAGTTTAGCATATGAGTGTCAATAGAAAAGTTACACCACATTCTGTACATATATATTCATCCAAATGACTATAAATGAGATCATTTTTAGATCCATTTATAACGCTAATCCTATTTTTTAATCTTCCCCAAAATCCTTCTATAGAATTTGTGTGTGTCTCTGTAATTGCATTCACAAAATCCCTTGAATGGTTCACTCTGTGATGAATACATCCAAGAGATGACAGGGAGTTACAACCTTTCCATTCATCAGTATGTACAATGGATCCCTGTTTCACAAGTCGAGTGACAGTAGGTACTAAGGTAATAGACTTTCTGTCTGGTATTCCCTCCACGAATCCTTTCCACACTGAGGTGTCATATAAACCGATCACCTAAACATTGTTGTCTCGCTCACAACCCACGGTTGTATTTTTTCTTCAGTAACACAGTTTCGTCCACGTGTGTACGACAATACCTTCTCCGTCTACGAAGTAATTCTCTTCATTTTCATGAGGCAATGTATCTCTTTCCTAAGCAATCCCAAATCCAAGCAATACTGCGAAACCTCATCGACCTGCAAGCGTAACTTCGTCTGATACGAATCAACCTTGAACTCACGGGTATGAACCTCATTGGAATATTCTATGTCATTCTCTGATTGGTAGTTAGTGGTGCCTAAAGTTTAACTTGGCCCGCACCACCACAACATTACTTTAATATAATAACAGCTTTTATTATTATTGTTATTATTATTGATATTCGTTCTTTGCCTTCTGAATGGAACCTAAGACTTCAACAGTAAAACACATCTTCAATTACTTGCTTCATTTCTCTATCACATAAGTTTCAGATGACTCCGCAAAATTTTTCACAAGCTATCATTCATTTCCTCATACGATTTCCACCCTCGAACATCCAACCCATCACTTCTATTTAACCGCCTGGTTTGTAATGTCACTTACTGCTCTCCTCACCATATGTGTCCAGTCCATCTGTATTTCCTTGTGAATAGTTGTTCGGCGAGAGGTTCTTGGTAGGGTTTGTTTCCAGCGTTCTTGATGGTTTATCCTTCTTTTTTTTGCCTGGTTATCAGATCTTTAGTATGAAAGGGAAGCAAGTATTGATAAAAACTTGCAGCCTGTTTGTGATCAAGTGCTAATGGGGACGCTTCGGGTCGCTAAAGTACAAAGAATGCATAAATTCACTTGACAGGTGTACTTAGTTATTCGTACATCTTTTTAACAAATCTAAGTAATTATTTACTGATTGATCAACGATGTTATTTTGAATTCATGGATAATCCCCATTGAAGCATTACTGAAAGCAAAACACGTAGCTCAGCGAACAGTCTCTTTTCGTTGGCAAATTCATTTTCTTAGCTGTACAATCGCAAATATATGTATATGTGTTATTTTGTATGTATGTGTACATTAAGTTTGTCAAACAAAATTACAACTGGTTATGGTTATTTTAACTAAACAGGTGAAGATTGGTTGTTGGAGTTACATAATACAAAATCAGTCAATAAAATTAGGTGTTGATGAAATTAGGGTAGTAACAAAGGTGATGATTTGTCACAAACAGTTGCTAAAAGAAGTTACGTAATAATAATATGAATAGTTTGATGACTGAGTTTTACTCAAGATGCACATAGAAACAAAATAGATAATATGAAATTACGTAAGAGTTCTAAATGAATACAAGAATTCTAACCTTACCTCTTTTCTAAGCTTACTATGTGCGAGAAAATTAGACGAAGTCTAGGAGTGCGCGTCACCACTTGTTCGCCAATATTGCTCAAAATGTAGTTCTCAGTGTTTCATATCAGCAGAATGTCATTTTATTTAGGATTATTCCAGACTATTTGTTTTTAATATAGTTGAATGTTTAGAAAAATACAATTTGTCAGGTAACTAGTTGTTGTTTTAACTTTTGCCATCATTATTATTATTATTATTATCATCATCATCATCGGACTCATTTTTCAACATCTCGATTTCTGATAGAAATCAAAACAAAATATTGTGCTTATTCTATCATATATTAGATGGTTGGAGGCAATTGGCCACAGGAAGCCCCACCTGACCTAGGTCTCATACTAGTTGTCACTCGTATCTGCAACCGCCTTAAAGGAACTCATGTCACTTTTGAGATTAGAACCTGCGTCACACCCAGTGAGTGCTGCAGTCAGAGAAGTTACCAACACTGAGCAGCTATTCGGGCTCGTGATTGACCTCTTGTAGGACTGTATTCGAAACAAAGGACTAGACACACGACACTAGTTAGTGTCCAATCAAAAGTAGTGCTCTGAGCAGTAAAGTCATTAGATACTATGAGGATATCCTGCGATACTCTATCTAATTATAGGCGTTTACTTCAATTAACATCTATCAAAACACCTTGGTATTCTTAAATCGTGAACACTAGATGGTTGGCTGCAATGGTGAGTCTGAATAGCTGCTCAATGGTAAGGTCTCTGATTGTATCATTGACTGGGTGACGCAGGTTCGAATCTCAGAGGAGGGAAATGAGTTCCTTCAAGGCGATAATCTCCTCCATATGTCTTTTACCCTTTTTTTGGACGCCGAACTCGTCACTCACTTGTCATTCAGCTTTCACTTGAGCTTGTATTCAAGTATATGGTGGTAGTAGTAGTAGTGTAACGGTAGAAGACAAGGGCCAGGCCACATTTCGTTTATTGGGAAAGCCAACAGATATTTATGTACACTTTATGTACAGTATTGTCAGCGGAGAAGCAACGTCTTCTGGCTGGTCTTTATCTTGCTGAAGGTTACCCTCGACTGCTTGTGACCGTTTTTCAGAAAGTTAAGCCAATCCTTAGCGAATTATATTTCCACACGTTAAGTTCGTTGTGATTAGTTGGTGAGCTCCTCAAGGTTAAGCTTTGTTATTGTGTTTCCCAATTCGGGACGTAAATTGCTGTCTATAATTTTGGCTTGTTCTCAGCCATCTCTTACCGATGTCGTACTATTTTTTTTTCTTTGTAAAACAAAACTAATGAACTAATCGTTTCATTTTATGAATTTATTTCTCCACTAGACGATGAATTTGTTCAGCATACACTTGACTTGGTTGATGAATTATGGCAACGCTTAGTGAATTCACTTCAATCCAGCCGACAATGGAATATGACATCATTCCATTTTGCAGCAGATATATGGCGATTAAAAGTCAATACCAATGAAGGAAAATGTAAAGAACAGTAATAATAATGATGACAATAATAATAATAGTAGTATAATTACTGTTATCTGTGATATTGGTTTATTTGAACTAATTCATGTGAAATATAACAGGCGCCTTTTTTTTCAAATACAATTTTGACAATAACTCATCTAGCCTTTTTGTTCTTCTTGTTATTGAATTTTTTTTGTCTAGAAGTCTTCAGAGTTGCAGCTGCTGGCAACCTTCCCATACAGCAGTAGTAGAACTTATGTATAATGTGTCCAACGATGTTGTCAATGCTTTATTGGGCAAAATTAAAGAATCATTGTTATCCCAAATGGTGTTGAGCAGCAAATAATCAGAATGGAACGGTGCGATCCCAGTGTTAAAGATGTGGGAAATATTACCGATATAAGTATAAAAATTAAGCACCGTGATAGCGTACAACTCCTCTGTCCGACAACTGCCACCTTCTCGTGGTGGTCGGGCTTGAATACCGCAGGGACTCAACAAAGTAAACCGGCTGTGACTCATGTTCTAGCATGTCAGGAAGGTTTTTTGGATAGCGGTTAGACTAAAACCAGTTACCATGGGGTATGAACCCGTACTGGTCGCCAGTAACCACGGGAGCGTAGCTCCTGACTCTGCTCCGCTGCCTTGCAGATAAGACTCCAAATCAAACGCTTGGGGTGGCCTTTTATAAAACCACCTGCTTCGGTCTGGGCTCCTGGGTAGTATCTTAGCCCTCACACAGTCAATGAAAAGAAGCAAAAAACTATCGGTGAAACTTATCACGCGTTCGTAACAAATTCTCTCAAGCAACAATGATGTCTCAAGTGACACATCTTATCCCAACCATACTTTCATTTTTATACATAGACTCCTGTATTTTACCTTTGCTAACCCTTGGCGTCTTCACCTTCGACAGCCTTTCACCTTTGTCTGAATTTCCAGCCTATCTGTGCTGTTTCGAGATGTTAGTGAATAGCCTTCAAAATGACTGTCCCAAATGCGACATCTAACACAGATATCCTGAAACAGTGTGCCGCGTTCAAGCTGGCCACCTACAATATTCGGACACTGATGCGAATCGGACAACAGGCAGGGTTGGTAAGAACAATGGAATACCTCTCTATCGATGTCTGCTGTATTTCGGAGATCTGCATTCAAAATCCCAGTGAAGTGCTTCGAATATCCTCTCTATCTGAAAGTTCTAGTAGTATGTACCACCTGCGCTTGTCGAGGGACCGTGTGGCGTGGGCACTCGGCGTAGCTGGTGTCGGTGTTGCACTAAGCGCTAGAGCCGAAGCTGTTTAATCGACTAAAGCCCCATTAACAGTCGTTTATGTGCTGTGAGGCTAGAAGTTTATACGAAAGTATGAAGTGGTAGGCCAGATAGGCGATGCCTCTTTGTTGTCTCTGCCTATGCACCAGCGGACTGCATCCCGGATACAATTAAGAATGAGTTCTACTACCAACTGAGCGATCTTCTGAAACAGGAGCGTCGGAGAGATATCGTAGTGCTGGCTGGGGACTTGAATGCACATGCTTGGCGTCTAAGCTCAACGGAGAATCGTCTAGGTTGTCATTCTGAAGCACATGCCTGGACTCCGATCATGCGTTAGTGTGTTCTATGTTCGTCTTGGTATTTGGAGGGGTTCATAAATGCCGTCATCTAAACGTTGATGTGAGCAAACTAGTAGCACCTGCTACTTCTTTGAAATACCAGAATGAATTATAATCAATACTTGCTAGCAACGCCACTCCCAAGTATTATAGATGAACATTGGCTTCATCGTTAAGACGCCATGCAAATGGTGGGTTTAACCACTTGCAGCTTAAAAAAAATACTCCACTAAAAACCACTGGGTTTCTGCGAGTTCCTTGCAGCTCCTGGATGAACGCCGGTCCTTTCCGGCCGGTAGCAAATACAACAATAAGCGAAAGGCGCTTACACGCAAGATTAGGCTGTTTACGTAGGTCAGCAGCTTCATCTGTCAACAGTCGGAAGCTGTTTCAGCTCATCCGTGCCACTGGCAGTAAGAAACAAGGTGTCAGCCAGACGGTGAGTGAGGCGGATAGCACGCCAATTACCAGCTTGAAAAGATGTCTGGAACACTGGGCAGAGCACTTCGGAAAACAATTTAGCTTGCCATCAGCTTCAGTATCCACTGTCACTGGCTCCAGTACCCCTTGGTCGGCTAGTACGGACCCACCGGAGAAACCTTATCAAAATCTTGTGGCGCTATCTCCTACTCAGAACGCACAGGAGTGAAGAGAGGAGAGGATATTCTTTTAGTCGGTGGACTTTCTTTAATTATTTCATTCATAAATAACTTCACTGGTGTTTTCACAGTTCAGAAAACTTGTTGCATTATCTCATCTAATTTAAAGTCTGTGAAGAATTGACAACTGGACAGGACTGCTATCGCCTTTACCCATATAGTGAAATAATTTCTCAGTTGGTGGTTAGTGATCAAAGATTTATTTTTGATAGAACGCAGAATAAAATATTACATCATCTTCCTTCCTCACGGATCGTGTGATTTATCTTGTAATGGAGTTACTATATGAATGTATCATCATTTTTCACGCATATTGTGATTTAGTGTGTGAGATGAATTCAGCGTCTTTTGTCTCACCTTGATCTTTATCGGATCACCAACCAATGAGAATAGCAATTGCTAGCTACTAAGATCAATTCATTCTCATGGTTGTTAGCCGACTTTATTATGGTAAAGAAAACGTATAGATAAATATCATGTGTTGTTTCCTAATAGATGCACAATACAGGCCAGCCTTTATCTTTTCATATTTGCCCGTTATAGTTGATTAGCGGGCGTAGATATAACAAAGCAGTGACGGGGTTTATTAAATTCAGTGCAGCTATAACAATTTTGTGTACTTAGTCTAAAACCGAAGGTTAGTAAATCCCAGTGGATTTCTGTCGCTTCATCCAAACTGATTGAAGCAAGAAGACTGATTCCAGTAGGCTCCGAGCATGATGAGGAGTGAAAGCTGTTCAAAGGTCAGCTGACTAAACGTTTCTCCCAAACATTACTGGGCGACCAAAGTGAAAGAAATGCAAAAGACATCGGCGATAGGGGTAATATTAGACAACTATTTAGGCTCACCGAGAAAACAGCTTGTTGAAAGTAATTGATAAGTGAGAAAATCTCCCAGAAAAGCAGTGCCTTGATTACCTTTGGCGATAGAAGACTGAAACGTTGAAGAAGCCACTTTGAGGAGAAATGTGACTGATCTATAGCTATGCTCAATTTTCCCAGCATCCAAACACCTACCTGAATGGGATATTGGCAACATTATAACCTGTAAGAGGAGGAGGGGAAACGCTTCCTTTCATGATATTAAGTACAACATTTTCAGCTCTGAGGTACAATTAAATGAAGCTGCCATCAGTCTACTTACCACAGCCGGGTTTGTATTAGACGTATGAAAATGGAAATTTTTCAGTTAGAACTTAAGATTCCCATCTAAATGTGTAACAGTGCGTAAATTAGATAGGCATAAATCAGCCTATAATATTCTTTTCGTAACTTCATCTCAAAGTTGTATAGTGTTATAAAAGGTTATGGAAACGCTCCTATTAAAGTCAGTTGTTATTAGATGGTTGGAGAAAATCAGCCACAGGAAGCCCAACCTGACCTAGGTGTCATGCTAGTTGACACTCACCAATCATCAGTCAGTAAGGCTTATCTGCAATCACCTTGAAGAAACTCATATGCCTTCTGAGATTCGAATCAGCATCATCCAGTGTCGTCTGCAGTCAGAGACATTACCACTGAGCTATTCAGGCTCATGACTGACTTGCTGTAGGATTGTAGTGGATACTTTCATTGGACACTAGTAACTAGTATCATGTGTCTAGTCTTTTCTTTGGTGCCTTGCTGACGAAGAACCGCTTATCCAGATCACTGAGAAAAGTCTGTTTTTCGACTGAGCTACGTATGAATTTCTACAGTCGACATACGACCAATGGATGTATTTTATTATTGCTCCCTTGGGTTCCTAGTGGAACATAGGGCTTCAACTGCACGTCTCCATTTTCTTCTGTCTTCTGCTATAGTTTTCGCCTGCATCCATGTTAATCCATATTCTTTCAACTCCTCTTCACACGATCTCCTCCATGTCACTCTTGGACGTCCCACACGCCGCTTCCCTTTCGGGTTCCACTCGAGGGCTTGGCGCGGGATGTCACCCAGCGGTCACCTCAGCGAGTGTCCGATCCATCTCCACTTTCTCCTGCATATTTGTTGGGCGATTGGTTCTTCCTTTGTTTGTTCCCATAATTCCTTGTTGTTGATTCTTTCCGGCCATCTTATCTTCAGTATAGAGCGTAGACAGTTGTTAATAAAGGTCTGCAGCCTTTTGGAAATATTCTTTGTGACCCGCCCGCCAAGTTTCTGATCCGTATAGAAGAACTGACTTGACGTTGTTTGTATTGAAAATCCAACCGAATTTTTTTGGTGATGCTGGCTGAGTGACGAAGATTTCCAGATTGATTTCAGGCTGATGAATGTGTTTCTCGCCTTCTCGATTCTCGATTTGACATCCTCTTCCACTCCTCCTGTAGTTGAGACAATGCTCCCTAGATAAGTGAATGAAGTAACCTCTTTCAAATCCCTCCCGTTGGTGGTGATTGTCGTTGGATGTTGCTGATGCTGCTGTTGTTGTTGGTTGGTTATTTTCATAACCTCCGTCTTGTCTATGTTTATCTGGAGTCCTGTCTTTGCTGCTTCTTCGACCAGTTTGTCGGTTTTCGCTTGTAAGTCTTCGATTTTGCGACAGTGACATCAAACAAATCATCCACGCGCGAAATCCAAGTCTTCTAGGTTCTTCACGTCGATCGGTCCAGGATATCCCTGTCTTCTCGTTTCCCACTCACTGTCTGACGCATAATCCAGTCAGTCCACCACAATTAGGAATATCATTGGTGATAATAAGCACCCTTGTCTGACTCCTGTGATTACAACAAATGCCTGGCTGAGTTTTCCGTTGTGGATCACTTGGCAGGTGCCGTTGTCGTACAGCTGTTGAATAAGGTTGATGAATATTTGGGGCACTGTACGCCGTAGTACTCGAGTAGTTTCTAAATTACTTCACGGTGAATGCTGTCGAAGGCCTTCTCGAAGTCTATAAGCTTGA